AAGAATATACTAAATAAAAATACCTACTGTTTTTGTGACCATTGGGCCATTAAAACTTTTATTGTAAACTGAATTTCACCTCTATTTTGTAGAAATGAAGTCATTTTGTAGTGACTGGCTTCCAGATAATATAAACATATAAGTCTGGAGTAGATAACAGAAAGTCAGTTTATACCACGAAGGAAATAAAGTTTAGCTGGAATATTTATGTTGGCATTTTTATTCTATTGGCAGGCTTGTATTAGAAGACAAATCTTTACCTGAGGGGTACTTGCAAATGCATTAAAATAACATAGCGACAATACGCTAAAGAGGCTGAAGGACACATATTTGGAAGTGCTAGTAGTACTGGGAATCATGACATCTCATGGCTGTGGGCTAAAATGTTACAGTTGTACCTGGAGACTGTCAGTAACAACTGGTGCAGTATTGGTAGCCACTTTTTATATCTAGCTTAGCACTGTTTTTGTGTTACTATTAATTACTATTTTTTGGTTATACCTTTGTAATGGGTGTTTAAGACCAAGTCAAAGTAAGACCTGTCTTAATCCAAATTAATTTACCTGTGAATTTGACAAGATCAGTGAAGGCTTTTCAGGGACTTTTGGGGCCCTTAGCTCTCCTAATTTTTCTTTCTGGCAGTTGTGTCATCTGCCAGGATGGGTCAAACTTAATTAACCATATAGCTTTTATTAGAAGCGTGGAGACATTCCCCCCTTTAGTGACTCTACTTTTTACCCAATGCACATTGGTTGACTCCTGTCCTATGAATCCCAAAATCTCCCTGCTCAGGAAGTTGGGTGACTAACCGGAGTTGCAGGGCCTTTTTGGAGGGGTGCCATTGTGCCCTGGGTTCTGGCTGACCTTAGAGGGCAAGGGCCAAAATATTGGCTGTCCTCTTAGGCCTTTTATCTTCCTCAGCTTTGGTCTCCAAGCTTTGACTGTTAAACACTCAGGTCAGTTACACCAATAGATCTTTTTTTTTTTTCCATTTAGTTTATTCGTACATTTTAGGTATACAATACAGTGACATTCATCATTGGGATCTTGTACCTTTACATGATGTATCTTGATTCTTACTTATTCCCCATTCCCCTGCCCTCCCTTCATCCCTCCATCCTTCTCTATTTACAAAGTACACCAGTAGATCTTAATACTAATTATAGTAATCCTTTTGGATATTAAAGCACTTTGAAATATAAAGTAGGACCAGAGAGCAACTATCTTTTTCATTAACTATGGTCAGCATTAATATTAGGAGTCATCATCATAAATTTGTCCTGTAGGTGATGCCCACTATATTGTCTAAGGTTGTTTTTAAATGTCACATTCCTGCAGAATATTGCTAGATAACAAAGTTTTACAAGAAAAATGGAAAATAAAAAAATTAAAAGCAAATATAACATTTTAGGATAACAATTATGATGACATTATTCTACAACCATTAGGTATTATATCTCTAAAAATACATTGAAATTCTCACTTCAGTATAAAATAACTTAGTAGA